GTTGTTGTTGTTGTTTGTTTGTTTGCTTTTTGGTATCAGGAATTGAATCCAGAACCTTGTGCTTGCCAAGCAGGCACTGTGCCACTGAGCTATATCCCTGGCCAAAATTTATTTTAATACATTAATACTTCAAAATATTAGCTGTCAATGTTATTAATTTTCTTGCAGTAGCAATATCAGTGCTGAGCTTTCTGCTGTTAGACAATATGCGATTCTCTTTTTTGAGGGAAATTTAGATAGTTAAATAGGAAGTTTGCTCTGCTCCTAAGAAGCCTGTTCCAAATCGATTGTGGGCTGCTGCCTTGTGAGGTGAAGCCCAGTGAAGACAATGAGAGCACTAACTCCGCTCTGAATGCTGGCAGTGACTGGTGCTGCCAGTGAGACATCAGCACCTCCCAGGGCACGATTTCTGCGGTTACGCATGGGGATACCGATAAAATCCTTCGCATTTCCCAAGGGCAACAGAGACTTCAGCAAATAGCCATTTCATTCTGTGTATTTGCCTCTGGACTGTAAAATATTTCCCCTCAGCTAAATTAAATAGAAATTTAGTATTCTAAAGCTGTAAAAGGTGTCCATCATACAAGATCATTAAATATCTATGGTCAGGGGATCGATTTTGTATATTGCTATTTTTTCTAATGTTTTAAGACTATTCTATCTACTTACTCTAGTGATCAATAGTGTACAACTGTCAAAATTACAATAGGCTTAGATATGAGACATACTGAGCATATAAAATATTTATGATGATCGCAAAACTGACCAGTGGAAAGGAACAAAACATAGCCTGAAGTCTGTCTGAATTCCTTATGGTACCTGTTGCAGTGTACAATATGTATGTGTTTAAAACTTCAAATTACTTGGCCTTATCACCGAGTATAAAGGATAGAGCTGGGGGTTCTGGGAAGATGGCTCAGTGGAATAAGCACTTCCCTGGAAAGCACAAGGATCTGAGTTCAATACCTGGTTCAGCCAAAACAAACAAACAAACAAAAAAAAAGATAGACCTAGAATTCAAACCCAGCCTGGCTCATTATTCTTTGTTTTTATCCATTTCAATATCCTGCCTCGCCAAAAAAACAGTGAACCCCAGCAAATAATAAAACAATTAGAATGAGGTTGTCTATCCAGTTTGTGAGGTGGTGGAGGAAGTAGAAATGAACATCTGAATCTGTGGTGATTAGAATACGATACTATTTCATTTTTAAACATAAAGTACACTTACTTTTGAGAGAGGTACAGCTCAAAGACATCAGCATCTCTCTTGTATCCATATATCTCTAGCTGATCTTCAATTGCCTGATAACATATAATTAATCTGTCAAACCACATTCCAGTGAACAAAAATACTGAGACATTTGCAGTCAGTGACAATAGATCTCCAAGAAGATCAAAGAAAGGTGAATTTGGAGGCAACCGCACTAAAATGATAAATTCCAATACTACAATTATATATTATTTATTCCTTTTTGTGGTTGAATTTCATTATTCATAATCCTGGACAGATCTGGGACAGAGAAGTGTAAATAATTTTTAATTAGAGGGAAAAATGTGTTTGTGTATATGTAAAACAAAAACAAGCTTTTGATTGTCTATGAGGGAGGATAATTGGGTTTTTAAAAATTATTCTTAAATGTTCTTTTAAACTTAAATAATTTATATTTTATAGGATTCCTATATTTATCAAAGAAATCTAGTATTGGGTTGGAAGTGGGTGGAATAAAGTATAGTATATATTGTTATAGCAAATTCTTTTTATTATACACCATGTCATGCTTAACACCCAGGAAATTCTCAAATGTCAAAGAGATGAATAAGTGAGTGAATAAATATCATTTTCTTCTGAACAAACGTATTTTTCTTTGCTTAGGAAACAAAAAGAATCTTCAGTTATTTCCCAAAAAGTTTTCTTGGAAGGTGAAAATCCGTCAACAGCTATCAAAGTTCTTCTTTATGAAGTTTCTTTACTAATTTACAAAATCATATTTGTAAGCCACATGACTAAACATGGCAATATTAGTACCTGTCTTGCCATGAAAGAACAGAATGAGGAAGACATCACAGAAGTGAAAGGTATAATTGTTGCAATTCTGGAATGAAACAAACATTAATCACACTAAATAAAAACCCCACATTTCACCTGGGATTTGTTGTGGGAGGTAAGACTGTAATGTCAGGAGAATTTTTTCCCCCACGTTTAGTAGAGAGCTCTAAAGAGACTTTGGTGGTAAGAACAAATATTTAAAGCAATGAATGAGGTGGGTATCCTCCTAGTGGCAGAAGGTTACAAAGGTAGAATTCTAAATTCCTTTGAGTTCTTGTTAAACAAGCTGAACCTAAGGGCTTAGAGAATTTATAGTTTCAGGCCTAGGTATTCTTCTCAAGGTGTTTTATTACAAGCTGAATCTTGGAAAAGCTCATTAGATCAGGTTTAGCTGTTCTTATCTAGGTATGTTAACTTTGACTAGTTACTCTTTCAGTTTCTGCTGTGTGTAGTCAATCACAACTCGCCAGAGTGTTTGAGTGGTTGATGCTAGTCAAAATAGAACCAAAATTCTGCAGTCATCTGTTCAAATTACATTTTTTCTGAGAATTCTATTTTCATCTGATGTAAATTTTTACATTTCAATTTTTTATTCATTCATGTTTATAGTACATAATGATTGCATTCACTGTGGGGAGTTGTACATAACACATCTCAATTTTTTTCACCCAGTTTTATTCTCCTTCCCCTCTTCCCTCTCTCCCTCCCTTCCTCCTTCATCTCTTAGTCTGCTCCCTATTTGTAAAAGTTCTCTCTCCCTGTTCCCTATTGTCTTTCATTTTGCTCTTTATTTATACTTGAGTTTCTTGTATAAGAGAAAGCAACTATATCATTACTTTAAAACATCTATGTATATACACAGAGAAAAACCTTGGCATTGCCTATTTCAGCGTGCTTCCTTTGTGGTTGTGGAAGACTCCCAGCACTTGCAGCATAGACAAATGTGTGACCTTACATCAAGCAGAAGTTGAAAAACACAGAGAGGTTGGTGATGGTTAATGTTATTTGTCAGCCTAACTGGGCAACAGGAGGCTCAGATAAGTGGGAAGACATTTTTCTGTGCTTGTCTGTGCATGTTTTTGGATAAGGATGGCACTGGGGCTGGGAAATGCGGGAAGGAGTTCACCGACATGGGTGGGCATCGCCAATCCATCAAGGGCCAAAAAAACAGAACAAAAAGGCAGAGAAAGGACAAATTCCTGTTCTCTTCTGCAGCAGGGTCACGCATCTCCGCCTGCCTGGGGACCTGTGCTCAGCCTGCGGGCTTGGGCTATGTTATACTGCTGGCTGTCCTGAGCTACCACCAGCTTGTAGCCAGCAGACCATGGGATGTATAGGCCTTCACAATCAATAAGCCAGTCCCCCATTATAACTTCCTCAGTGTTTATATGTCTTATTGGTTATGCTTCTCTAGAGAAGCCTAATTTTTTTTTTTCATTTTTATGTAGTTGGCATAAGGCCTCACTACGCAGCGCAGACTCATAGTGATCCTCCTGTTTTCAGCCTCCCAGCACTGGGATGGCAGGTGTACGCCACACGCCCAGTCTAGATCAACGACTCAGCACACCCCGGGGGTGGGGCCGGGGCAGCACATGGGACTGGGGATCAAACCCTGGTCCTTGTGCTTGCCAAAGCAGGCATTTAGCTGATTGAGCTATCTCACCAGCCCAAGAAGCCTAATATTGATAGGTATCTAGACATACAAAGATATGTGAAGTATATTTTTATGTAGAAAAGTAATGGGCAGTATAATCTGTGTAAGTGAAATAATGTTTTTATTAAAAATAACATCGATATGCCTACAAAGTGTACACAGTCCTAATTCTTAGTGATAGTCATCACTTAGATCATAAGTTTCACATTTTAGGCAATATATTTTGTTTTATGAAACGGGTCCTTCTTGTTACTTATAGTTTTAAGTGATCCTCTTGCCTCAGCCTCAGCTCCTAAGGTTGGGAATATAGGTGTGTGCAGTGCCCCTGGCTTCAGGTAATACATTTATAAATGTTTGAATGTTTTATAATAAACATGTATTCATTTGATAATCAGAAAGCAATACTTATTTTGAAAATTTTAGTGACTGAATTAATAGAAGATTTAAATCAAATTTAAATTTGAAGCTATAAAAGAGTGAAGAGAAAGTAGTTGCATAATCTGTAAATTACTTGCATAATTAAGGACTCACACAACTCTTTCTCATGGAATGTTTCTTTCTAATCAACAATTTTGCATGAATTGATACAAAGTATTAATATCAAAGTGCCAGGGAACACGAAAATGTGCCCAGCAGTTTCAGGCTCCAGTGAATCTGCAGCAGGGCAGCCTCAGGTGCCATCCGCACTCAGCTTTCCCAGGGGCATGCCCACTCCTTCACTAAAGAAGCAGAAGAGCTCCCTTCCCCTGCCAGTGTTTATGTTGCAAAATATACATACTGTTGAATTTGCCATTTTAACCACTTTTGAGGTTATAAGCCTATGGTATTATGTACATTCCCAGGAAATACATCCCTCTTTCTGTGGGACTCACACAACAGCCATTTCCAGAACTTGTCCTCCATGGCTGGAGCCCTGCCCCCTTAAACACTGACTCCTTCCTTGCTCTGCCCCCAGCCTGAGGCAGCTACCTTTCTACTCTCTCACTCTATGGGTTTAAGTACTCTCGGTAGTTCATTGGCATAAACAGCATTCGTCCATGTGGGACTGGCTTATTCCCTTAACACAACATCAAGACTCATTCATATGGCAGCATGTGTCAGGATGTTGTGCATTGTTAAGACTCAGTAATATTTTATTGTATTTCCATACTGTGTTTTCTTTGCCCACACATCCATCAGTGGATACTTGGGTTGACTCATGTTTGGGCGATTGGAAATGCTATTGTGAATGCAGTGTATAAAGACCTGTGCAGCTTCCTGCCTGAACTTGGGTACTTTCTTTGGGTAAATACACAAAAGTGGAATTATTGGATTAGATGGTAATCCTGAGTTTAATTTTTTGAAAATTGCCATACTACATTCTACATGATTGCATGCAACAAGCATTCTTCAAGATGAATGTGTTTAAAAATAGTAAGTCCACAAAGATTCACTCAGCCATTTGTTAAGCCATAAACTGTAGTGAGATCTGATCTGTGATTGGCTAGTGAATGTAGCAGTGCATTGGGTAAGATGCCTAATCCCCACAAGTGTATCTTGTAATGGCAGAAGTAAGGGACATGTAAGGGACATACACAAAGGTTGTTAATATTAAAGGTTCAAGAAAACAAAGACACACAGGCAAGTTCAGAGAAAGAAGAAGATGTGAGGGTAGATCCAACAGTAGGGCATTCAAGAGTTACAAGAAGAGATGGTGTGAAAGGAAGAAGGGAGTAAGTACGTAAGAGAGAAGAAATAGCCTGAGATCTCTAAAGCCACGCAGACTTTCACTGTAATGAAAAACATGTGGAAGTCAGTTGTAAGAAATAAATTAAGAAAGGTAGACTGGGATCATATTTGGAGTGCTAACTTTGAAATTTGGGCTTGGAAGTGTGCACTTAATCAGAGCCCAAGAAAATCTTCTATAGGCTTGGAGAACTCTAAAGAGCACATAGTTTATGTAAACTAATTTAAAATTAACATAATTTTGTATGACCTCTGTATATATACACACAAATGAAATACATATATATTAGCTACATGATAAAATCCATATGAGAAAGGCCAACAGAACTTATTTTTTCCATGATGGCCACATGAACCTCTTGAACAACACCCAGTATGGGTTTACTACAAAAGCTGTTTTATTCCTTCTCTTTTGGGGTCTTTGCATGTTGGTACCCTAAAATTAAAGGCTTAGTTACTCAGCGTTGCAGGATCCAAAAGGGGTGTGCAGCTGGAGAAGCAGACAGGAAGCAAGGCCACCTCTAGAACAGCAAGGCTGGAGATCTCGAGCCCACCCTGGGCTGTGGCAGGAGAGGTGCGCAGTGAGCAGACAGCACCCATGTGCATGGAGAACATTGAACAGGTAAGTTGTTGGAGGGAAAGAGCAAGCACAAGGGAGTCCCAGGTGAGGTGATGAGCTGGTGGCTTGACAGTGGAGAGAAGCTGGGCTCAGCTGAGAAACGCTGGAGTGGCAGCCCTAGGGCAGCAAGAGGGCAAGACAGCCAAGAGGAAGCTGTAGGTGTAAGTGCAGATCTCATCTGAGATGTGGGGGAAGAATGCATGCTGAGGGGTTATGAGAGCCCAAGGAGCACATGGGCCCTGCCTCCATCCAATGACTTGTAATCTAGATACAACAGAAAAAAAAATGGCTCTAAACTGTGGAGTTTTTAACACCTAGAAGTCTAGAGTTTGCATTAAAGTCCCTAGCAGAAAGTATCATTGATGACCAACTCCCATGCCTATGTGCACAACACATCACACACTGGGACCTAAAGCGATCAGCTTTACATGAGTTGCAAACCTCCAAGCCTGGCTTAATCACATCAAGGTTTTCTAGGCAAGCCACGATGGCTTTCTGCAGGACCATTCATGTATTTTTGATCACACTTCTGAAAGACCTTCAGGAAAGAGAACTTTCAGAACTGCTTCAGAAAGTGACCAGAAGATGGGATGAGTGTGTTTTAAGCGAGGGAAAGTATTTCAAGGGGATTCATGGGAATGTGTCTTTTATTGTAATGAACTATTTAAAATTGAAGCGTTGATGGTGTATTTGGATAGCGCCTCAAATGTATGTACATACCCCAATATCAGGATGTGTATACATAGTAATGTCTAGGTAGATGTGCGTTGAGACTCAGGTGTTCTCAGTTAGTGGTGTGTTAATCTCTAACTTCCCTTGTTACAGAGGCAGAGTTTGTTCAGTTTATTACTGGGGGTTCCCACAATCCCCCAGCTCTACGCTGGAGGTTGGGGACCTCAGGCCAGGTGGAGGAGCTGGGTAGGACTCCCTAGCTGTGGCTGGGCCCAGACCCAGGGGCAGCAGCGTGCTGGACCCAGTGTGGTCAGGTTGCTTACCCTGCGGCTGCTGGGCAGGGCGGGCTCTGGGGCTCGCGGTAATCCGCGGCGTGGGAAGGCGCGGGGCATAGTTTGCGGTTCCAAGTTACCAGTTCCAAGCAGGCGCGGGCGGCGCCGACGACCCGCGAGGCCCATTGTTCCGTCACCGAGTTTGTTGCTCGCCTGGTCTCAAGGCCGAGCTCCAGTGAAGAGACTGAGGTCGCAGCCTTCCTTCTGAGACGCGCGGGTGGCTCCGAGGCCCTTGGGCTTCCGGGGCAAGGAGAGCTGCAGAGAGGGTGCTCGGCCTTGCACGGAAAAGAGCGGGCCGGAAGGCTGGGAGGAGGCGCCCTGGATCCCTCTCCGGGGTTCCGGACCGAGTTCGGGCAGGTGCAGGCCCCTGAGAGTGCGGGCTGTGTGCTGACCCGGCTCCGGGCACAGCTAGGAGCGCAGGGCTCCCTGCCGAGGCTCAGGGAGCTTGGGCAAGAGCAAAAGCATTACTGCCCCTGCAGTGTTGCACTGAGACACTTAGTTTAAAAGCCGAGTTTCTGGTGCCCTCGGACTCCGCACCCCATGACCAGGATGTCGCGCGCTTCCTGGTGGACCGAGGCCCGTGGTGGAGGCAGAAGTGGTCGAATTAAGGCTCCGTAGGGCTCCGTGTACACAGAAAAGGGGAACTTCCTGTTGAGTGTGTTGGCCAAGAGCGGGGTACATTGAATCCGTAGCTGAAAATCCTTCCTCTAGGAGCAAGCGAGAACAGAGCCGCTGTTTGGCAGGTGTCCTCGCATCCCCCATCCGTGCTGCAAACTCTAGCACAGACTACGTGATAACCTCTTTTGTAGGAGTCTGGTTGTTTCTGTGTCTGTCTCTGTGTCTGTGTCTCTCTCTGTCTCTCTCAGCCTCTCTCTGCCTCTCTCAGCCTCTCTCTCTCTCTCTCTCTCTCTCTCTCTCTCTCTCTCTCTCTCTCCCTGTGGGATCCTGTTTGTGACATCTCTTACGTGGGGGTGGGCCTAACACACCACAGTTAATAAATGTTGACTGAAATGAATGAACTGGCTTCTTGGCATCATATTTGAAAAGGAAATTGAGGAATCAAAAGTAGCTGTTTTTTTAAAAAAGCCATCTTCTCACACTTTAAAAAAAAGGTGTTGAAAACATCTTAGATGAGAAGACAAGAAAACGCTCTTTCAGTGTTTTTGAAAATAATTTGGAGCCAGATGTCATTGGGCACGTGCCTGTAATCCTAGCACTTTAGGGGCAGGCTAAGGCAGGAGGATCTGTATCAGTCCATAGTGAGTTCAAGGCCAGCCTAAACTACATAGCAGAACCCTGTCTCAAATATACAAAATAACAACAACAATGAGAAGAATTCAGGTCTGGGGCTGGAGTAAGAGTCTTCTAAGTTATCATGAAATAATCATCTGATAACTATTATTAAAGTAGTTTTTATTAGAGAAATAAAATAGGTGAAAGGAATGCACTTCAGTGAAAGTATTTAAAATAAGTTATTGTTTTCCATTTTTTCCATTAAAATGCAAATAGCACTTCAGATATTATTCATGAACATGCTACATAGAAAAATGGAAATGCCATTCACTTGTTTCAGCCACACAAATGTGAGTTTTTAAAGAGCCATGTTCAAAACAGGTTTACTGAAATCTTACACAGGTGGACTAGTAACCATTTAATTTCTATTAAAATTACATTTTATACCTTTGCCCTCTGTTTTAAACCCTTTTATCTTATACTAAGATTAATTTAAAATAACATGCACCACAAAACATTTCCTTAGGAAAACAACTCAAAAAACCACTCACTATAAAGTCTTACTGCGTTTCCCTCTTCAAGAAAAACATATAGTTTAATAATTAATTATAAAGGCTAAAATAATGCAAATTTATGGAACTGTCAAGGATGGAGGGTAATGAAGGCACTTGTTGAAGAAAATATCCTCACAGACATCCTCATATTGGTGATGTAAATTTTTAACCAAAGAATTATCCCTAGCATCACGAACAGAAAATTTTTACCTTTGTCAGGTGGGATTATAGCCTGAGGAATCTGGTGTAAAGTTTTAAAAATTCATGTAATAGGTGCATTTTCCTTTACAATCAATCTTGTGTTAATGTAAAAATAAAGAGGTTCCTCTGAGTCGCCTCAAATCTTTGAGTAATATTTATACTGAAGCAAGACACCCTGTTTCTCCTGCGGCTTTCCCTCCCTGGCCAGATGCCACTGCCCGCGGGGCTGTGCATACTCCGGGTTGAAAGCTCTATCGTATCACGCATGTGGGTTTGGACAAGAAGAAAGCCTTGTGCTCCAAGTCAGGGCATGTGGGGTGGAGGCTCAGCTCCTACATTAACTAGCTGTTGGCCAATTTCAAATCACTTATGGTCCAGGCCTCAGTTTCTTCAACAGTAAAATAAGGTAGAAGTTCAGTTAAAGGAACACTTCATAAAAGTGATAAAAAAAGTGATAAATATAAAAGAACCCACTTATTTAATTATAATGTCCTACAAGGGAAATAGTTATTGTTTATAGAATGAAAGATTTTTGTGCAGATGCTGACATTATTATTATTATTTTTTTTTAAATTGGAAAAGGATTTTTTTTTTTTTTTTTTTTGCTAGCTCAGGTTGCCTTATTGGCCTGGTATGGTTCGACTTGTGGAGCTGGAGACTAAACCACAGTCCTCTGCGCCTGACTGAGTTTGCCCAAGCAGGTGCTTTAAACAACTGAGCTAACCCACCAGCCCTGCTGACATTATTTTTAAAGAAAAAATTTAAGGTTGAAGTGTATGAGGAAAAATGATGCATGTGATGACTTATTAGACCTATATAACTTTAAAAATTCTTCTGATATTGTCTTGAGTAATTCCAATAATCACACTAGATATTCTATTTCTCAGAGTAAAAATACATTTATTGGATAAAATGATCACCCATTTTATGTTATAAACAACAAGAGTCAAATGAACAATATATCTGCTGCAAGCAATGCATAGTCTTACATTTTCTGTATAACAGTTATATATACCTTTTCACAATATTAGATAATCGTAGCATCACATTTTCATCATTGAAACTTTAGGTACAATAATAACCTATTTTAATTGACAGCTATAATTTGCTTCACACTGCTGTTAATAAGTTCTGGTAACCCACTGCCATTGGACTAGCCTAATTTGCTTCACAAAACGCAAATGATAGTGGCATGTTAGAGGACAGTTAGCAATCTCTCACAATCCTGCCACAAGCAAGGGTAGTGATTGCTTTTCTTAAAGACTATGCTTTCAAGGATTCTGTATAGTGAAAAGCATTGGAAGACATAGTGTCTACCACCAGAGCAAATGGCAGGTATCTTGTTTTTGTTTTTATTTTTACTGAAAACTAGTAAAAATAATGTCTCTACACCTTATAATAAAGAGAAGGCCAAGCAGCCTTACTATCTATTATAAAATATGTGGCCTCCCTAAACTCATAGTTCCTCTTCTGTAACACAATTCCCTCTTGACTTCAAAAAAAATTTCCATTTCCATTTTTTTGTAAATTACTTTTCATATACATTGCTTAAGTTTTAACACTCAAATACCGATTACTAGCACCCCACAAGCCAGGGTAGCAGGTTTCCTATTTCTTTCTTTTTTTTTTTTTATTTTTTTTTTGGTGGAACCGGGGCCTATTTATTTCTTGAAGTCATCAGTGGGTTGCTTCCAGTCATCTTGTGGTGTTCTGGAAGGTGGGAAGATGCCACAAGGTTAACACGCTCTTCTAAACAGTAGCACCAGGATTGCAATCTGTGAAATCACTAAAATTACCCTCCTTCACATTTTTCCAATTTAGTCTTGATTCAAATTGTGAGAGGATTTTCCCTAAACTTGCAGAGATGTCTTTTTAATGCCAGCAAGAATACTGCTTTCTCGTCATACATGATCCTACAATCAGGCATTTGGAGCATAAGTAATCAACGTAAATATGTACACCACGTGCATGCAAAAAGGCACATGTATGTATACATTTTGGTGCATGTAATCTACCTGGAGATGTACATACACAGAGTCGATGCTATATAGTTTGGGTGTGGTTTATTCTCCAAGGTTTCATGTGGTGGAGGTTTGGACCTCAGAGGATGGTGGCACTGAGGTGGTAGAGGTTTTAACAGATGGGGTTAGTGGGCAGTGGCTAGGCCATTGGTGGCACTGCCCTTGGGAAGAGCTTAAGGTGGTTGTCTTGCGACCCTGGCCGTTCCCTAGAGAGTGAGTTGCTGTGGAGGAAGCTTCACCCCTTAAATTGCTCTTTGAGTTTCTCTTTCACCATGTGCTTCCCTTTCACATCCCCTTGCCTTGTTATCCTCCATGGCTCCATCATGAGGCCCTCATCAGAGTCCGGATAACTGTGACTGCCCGATTGTGGACTTTCAGCCTTCAAACTTGTGAGCTGAGTAAATGGCTTTTCTTTCTACACTGCCCACTTTCAGGTGTTACTACAGCAGTAGGAAATAGACCAGGCAGGAAGCCCTCATGCCGTACTCAGGGATCCCTGCCTCTGGGTTTTTGCATCTTTCTAGGGTCCTTGCTTCTTGCATGTGGGCTACATTTATGAACTCACTTCTAACAATATGAAGGACAGGAAGTTACATCTGAGATTAGGTTATGGAAAAAATGATGCTTCCTATCATAACCACTCATCTGCTTGCTGTCTAGCTCATGCTGAGGGAAGCCAGTTGCACATGGACTGATGTGTACAGAAGCAAACATGACCAGGTACCGATGTCTGTGCCCGATAGTGGGAGAGAACCAAGGTCCACTAGTGAGGATGTATGGAGGGAATCCATTCTCCAAGAGAGTATGAAATAAGGGTTGTCCTGATCTTGATCCCAGCCTTGTGGAGACACTAACCAGAGGCACCCAGCAGAGCCATACACAGACTCCAGACACTCATGGTTGACAGTGACAAATGCTAATTATTTTAAACTAATTTGAGAACTTGCTATGCAACAATAGGTAACTAATTATAAATGTCCCCATATGTCTATTACTATGATATATTTAAAATATAGTTAAGATATAAAACACAAAAAGAGATATTTCTCTGGTCAAACACCCCTGCACAAGAGCATCCATGTTTTTGTCACTGTATGCAGTGACAATTTGACATTTC